GTAATCTTATATTATACTTTACACACTTCAGCTTACACTATCTCATATTGAATGAAGAGCTTTTAACATCTTTCTATTTACAGATCTTTATTCCTGATCTTACATCTGAGTTGAGAGTGAAATGAAAATGCTTAATCTTATAATCAGATATGATGAAAGAAGTATACAATATTCTCATTATACAGAAACAAGTGAGTCAATTATAACAGAAAATACTGTAATTAAGTATGTCTCAGTGAAGAACAAGTAATCAGACTTCTATAATATAAGTCATACATCTGAATGTGATGAATCTAGATCTGAATATCATTACTAAAGTACTGAATTCTCTGAAAAAGAAATTCTCTGAGTGAAAATCTTAATATTGTGAGTATTGAGCTTACTTCAACTGCAGATATCAAAATCATGATGTAAAAGATTGTATTGAGTGTACACAGTTAAGAGAAGTAAGAAAGTCAAAAAACTAGCAGAATCAGTGAGCTCAGAGACACTTGCTGATATTCTATAAAAAGTTTTCAAAGTGAAAGAGATACTCATGTTGGATAATTCTCTAGATTCTGTAAATACAAAGAAGAAGCAGGCTCTCAAATGAGATATGAATGAGAATGATGAAGTGAATACTCATCTCAATGTCTTGAGACCTGAAATGTTAATGTGTAAGAGACACTTGAATAAGAATCAAGAGATGGCTGCAAAAGTGTTAGTGAACACAGAAGCTTCTATATAATATATTAATAATTATATGATCTGAAGACTGAAAGAGGTCTGCTGAGTGAAGAATTCCTGATATATAAGATTATCTGATAACTGATATTTGATATCATCTGCAAGAGTAAGAGTTCTCTTGCACTTTGAAGAATGATCTTGCTATATTTGAGTATGAGAGCTGCAGAATGTGAAATATGATCTTATTCTCAGACTTAATTAATTCTAAAGGTTCAATTCACAGATTCAATGATATACATGTCATATACAGTTGACTGATAGAAAGAAAACAGTTCATATAATTCTATTAACTGATATGAGAAGAACATTCCATGTCTCTGATATAGAAGAATTAAATCTGCTTATACATTAATAAGTAAAGAGAACAATTCATAAGACCTCATCTGAAAGCATTCTGTATGTTATACAGAACCTGAAAGTGGAGAAAATCAAGATAAAAGATATATAAGAGAATAAGTGTATGAAGAAGCTTCTGAAGAAGTATAAGAAAATCTTCTGAATAAATCTTTCACTGAAACTGTCACTGAAATGAGAATTTGTACATAAGATTAACACAGAGAATGTAAAATCAGTCAATCAGAATATATATTCTCTGTCACAAACATATCTTGAAGAATAGAAGTGTCAGATCACAGATCTTCTAGAACATGATCTTATATAACTCTCATTAAGAATGTGAGGCTTTTCAGTCCTATTCATGAAAAAGGTGAATAAGAAGTGATAAATGTGTATTAATTATTAAGCACTTAATAAGCTTATAATTAAGAATGAATATTCACTGTCATAGATTCAACAATAGTTGAATATAATTGAAAACATCTGATATCTATCAAAGATTGATCTTCTCTCAGAATACTGACAGATCTGTGTAGATAAACTGTCAGTCTCATAAACTGTGTTTAATATACAATAAGAGAAGTTTGAATTTCTGATAATACTATTCAGTCTAATAAATGCATCTGTTATCTTTCAAATAATAATGAATATAATTCTTTATAAACAGAATGAAATCTCATATCTTATATATCTTAATAATATTCTAGTCTTTTCAAACTTATACAATAAATATCTGAAGTATCTCAATGAAGTGCTTACAACTCTAACAGAGTATAAGCTCTATATTAAATTAACAAAGTGTATATTTGAAATGAAAGAGTTGAAGTTTGTAGAATATATAGTAAGTGATGACTGTATATATCTTATCTCAGAGAAATTGAATATTATAATGAATTAACTATGACTGAGAAACATATATTATATACAACAGTTTCTTGAGTTGATCTCATATTACTGCAGATTTATCAAGAATTTCATATAAATATCTATATCACTCTCAGATCTCTTAAGAGAAATGAATATAAATCTGTAAAAGAAGAAGTTTCATTCAATCATCTGAAATACTGTGTGTGAAGAGGCTTTTCTCATACTGAGAGAATATATAACAATATTCTCAGTACTTATTCAATCAGATTATGATAAATCTTTCTATATTAAGACAGATGCATCTGAATAAGCTATTAAAGATACTCTTCTACAGATGAGTAAGAACAGCAAGCTGCACTCAGTGATGTATAATGATAGAAAACTATCAGATATCAAGCTCAATTACTCAGTATATAAAAAGAAATTACTACTGATCAAGCACATACTGATATTATGAGATAGATATATTAATAATAAGCATATAATAACAGTGATTACAGATTATGAAAGTCTTATCTATCTATAATTAATAATAAAATCTTTTAAATACTTAGTATGTTGAATCTCAGAGTTTTAAGCATACAATCTTTATATCAAATACTGAAAGAAATCAGATACTGTAATATCTGATGTAATCAGTCACAGATCTGATTTCATGAATGAGAGTTCTGTGAATCAGATATAAGAGAAGTTTGTATTAAATACACTGAGAAAGTGCAAGAAATCAGAATAAGTGAACATTATAATCTCTCACTTGAAGAATGATAAGATATTGAATAACAAGCATCTCATAAGAGTAGTAGAAGAGATGCTTTCAAACTTCAAACTGAGAAAATTGAAAAACAATGTTATGCTTTACTGTGATCTAGAATATATAGACACTCTCTATCTAGAATCTTTATTTAGACATGACTTGATAACTCACATGCACAAGAAATTCAGTTACTTAGAAAGCTCTGAACTCATGAGTATACTTGAATTAAGAGTATACTGGCCAAGCATGACTGAGAACATTCAGATGTATACTCATGAGTGTCTGAATTATCAGATTATGAAAGAATCTAAGAAAGGATTAGAATATGAGAAAGTATAATATCAGATGAAGTGTACAATACAACTGTTTAAATAATAAGAGATGAATCTCATAGACATATTATCACAAATGTTAAATAGAAATCAATGAATAATCACTGCTATTGATTACACTACTGACTGACCAGTCACAAAAGCAGTTTCAGAGATGATAGAGAAGATGATAGTGAAGTTTCTACATGATGAGATCTATGTTAACTATGAAATGCTGTGTGAGATTCTAACTGATAACAGTGTGAATCTCATGAGAGAAGTAGTGAGGCATTTCATAAACCAGTTACAGACAAGACATTGTAGAACAATGCTATATCATTCACAGATAAATGAGAAGATGAAACACTTGAATGAAATCTTGAGCAATATGTTAATAAAATATCTAGTGAGCAAGTCTATAAGACTATGAAATGAATATCTCGGGCAGGTGCTATTGATCATGTGGATTTAACAGCATGCAGTCTCCAAGTGTTCACCATTCTACCTGTTATATGGATTGCATCCGCGCATCCCGGAGAATGCTTTAGAAAAGGTGGAAGAGAGAACAGCAGTTGCAGACATAGCAGGAACAGCAGTTACAGACGCAGCAGGAACAGCAGTTACAGACACAGCAGTAGCAGTTACAGATGCAACAGTCGTGAACACAGAATCAAGATTGAAAGAGATCAGTCACACATGTGCAAAAGCTAACAAGTTACTTCTGAATCAAGCAATTCAATTGAAAAGAATATGAGACTCACTAGTTAAGGAATCAAGTCTCAAGATGAGAATGTGAGTTCTCATATACAATGAGAATTCTGAGAAGTTTCAATCTAGATGATTTAAGTTGTATAAAATACTCAAATCACATTCTCTGAGAATATATGCATTGAAAGAATCAGAGAAATGAGTCTTACACAACTTAATCAATGATTCATGACTTATGAAAGTAAAGATATAAGATCTGAGTGAATTATAATCATCTACAGTACTATTATCAGTGTTGAAAAAGAAGAGACTTATAATTGAAAAGTCTTATGAAGTAAGAGAAATCATAGATACTTATAAATCAGATAATCTCACTTATTCTGATCTTTCTATGATTATAAGAAAAGAATGAGAAGTAATGAAGAAATCAGATGAATATCACACTTTAATAAGTAATGAGACTATAGCTGATTGTATGATAACATGCTACAGACAGTGAGCACAATGCAGTAAAGAGCAGTCTCAAAGTAGCAGACTTATACATGAGTCAGATCACAGAAGAAAAAGAAATTCAGAGTTGAATTCAACTGTTTATATCAGTTTAATTGCAGAGATTACAGAGAATGAACTATCTGAAATATTCATGAATATATGAGACCAAGTCATCTTGATCTCTGAGAATGCTCAGAGATTGAGTGAGATTAGTTTTGATAAGCTGTTCACTGTAGTGATCTGAGCAGGTGAAGAGAGACAGTATAATATATAAGACAGAATTATAAAAGATGAAAGCTGCTAAACCTAGTCATTAAATACTGTATTATATAGAGATTATGTAAGAGTAGTGACTAGCAGATAAAGAAAAAGTGTAAGAAAAGAAAAGAGATAATGAATTGATCATCAACTGTAAGAGTCAGCTGTAAAAGATAAATGTTATCATACATACTTCATTCATTTTTATATGTTATATATTTAATCTATTTTCAATGCCACACCACCTGAAAAACATTAAAAATAAAGGAAATCTCAAAACTCAAGATCTGTAAGAGATTCAAGAGCTGTAAGCTGCTCTTATAACAATGCTATGCATGTCTCTGATTTCTCTACTGCTCTGTATATGACATTAATGTGATTTATCACAAGATTGGCTGAAATGTCAATATAGAAATGTGTACGCGTACACATAGAGAAATTGAAGAAGAGTGTGAGACTCACAGAATCAGAAGTCAGAGCAGAAGAGACAGAGACAGAAGAAATGAAAGAGAGAGATGCAGAACTGAATAAATGATGACAGGAGTCACTCAGAGCTGAATGCTTATAATCTGATGTGTGCACAATCTTCTCTGCAGAGAAGGGAGAGAAAGTGACAGAAGAAGCTTGAGAGTAGAAGAAAGTAGTCTCAGTGATATTATCATCTTCAATTAGAATAATCTCTGACACTGAAGTAACTAAGAATCATTATTAGTATACAAAACTGTAAAAGCAGAGATAATAATTACTGAATAAACACTCACTGATCTTAGAATTGTACACACAATTACAACATACATGAGACTTCTCAGGAAGAGAGAGAGAAATACAGGGGAATACAGAAAGTAGAATGCAGTGTGTGAATAACTCATTCTTACAATAATATCTCAGACAAGGTGTATGAGCCTCACACTTGCAGGTGTAAAAGAGTATGACATCTGTGTTTCTGTTTCTGAAAACATGAATATCTTTTGTCTGCATCATGAAGTCAGATAATAGATATTAGAGAATAGACTGATATGAATCTATTATTCTGAAGAAATTCATCAGAGTGAATATCTCTGTGATATTGAACTTTACAGTTGTAAAAAGCTTCTTGATATCTGTGAATATTATGACTTCATACACAGTAAAACTCATAACAATTTTCTCTAAGAATAGAAAAATCAGTGTTGAAAAGAAAAGATGAAAAAGAAAAAGACTTATGATCTTAACACTGTTGAAGAGAGAAGTGATTCTCTGATATGAATGAATGATTATCTTATCATGAATATTTAAAATAAATGTAATAATCAGTATTTATAACTGAGCTTCAGATAGTTATATTATACACAGTCTTTATATAATAAATTGTTCTGAGAGTCAGTAAGAAGAGTGAGAGTGTACATGCTGAGAAACATGATTTATTAAGTCTACACAATATCTTCTTGAAATAAGAAGAGCTGATAATGAAAGCAGAGATAATAAAACCAGAAGTAGCAGAAGTGAGGGTCGCGGGAACAGAGGTAGTGAAAGCAGGAGAACCAGACATAGAAGCAGGTGTAGAAGATTGAGAGGAAGTGGCAGAGAAAGAAACAGAGAAGGCAGAGAGAGATGTGAAAGACCTGATTATACATGACATGAATAATTCCTTCATTATCATGTTCTTCAAGTTCTCAATCAATGATTCAATATTGAGTTCACTATCATCAGCAGATGTGAATCTGTCAATGTGTGAAGATTCTATATGAATAAAAACAAACATATCAGTATCTGTATTCATGTAAAATTGTGTCAGAAAACATGATCAGAAATTCACTGAGAAGGAAACAGTTAAGAATGTATAAGAAGATGAAGAAGGTGTGTCATTCATGATAGTACATTCTGATGATTATTAGAAGATAAACAAGTTCTGATTATATTTCATAACATATTACACTTACTGCTAACAAACTGCCTGATATGAGTACTATGAGAACACTTGTTATGAAAATGAAGAGCCATTGCCAGAAATGTGTATGATATAATAGATGAACAGATGAAAAGAGTTGAATAGAAGAAGAAATAGAAATCTTGAATGAGATAGTGATGTTTGATAATAATGATGATGAAGAAGATGATTGAAGAATAAGAAAAGTTAGTGAATGAGTGATGTAATATAGTGAAAGTTTCTTTGTGAGAATGTACACAGAATGCTAGCTAAATCAGGAATAGGTTACAAGATTGTGAACACTAGTGGCGCACTAATCCGCATGAAGCTAGGATGAATGTCATGATCATGTAAGTGTGATCAAATCTGATGGGAGAGAATGTGATTTGAAAGAATATATGACTGTTGATGTGGTTCAGAAGAACATATGACTGTTGAATAATAACGCGGCCGCTTCCGAACTTGCTTATGAATGTAAGGGGGTCATAGCAGCCACTAATTAATTTAGTGTATGATATATAAGAAGCCGGCATACGCCTGTAATCGTACACTGGCTCAAGCAACCTTTGAATCACAAGAAATAAATATTTTTCAGATATTAAAAGAGCTAAAATAGACTGCTGAAATAAATTTCTTGAAGAGATATAAGAAAAGAAAGTTTTTAAAGCTTTTAACTATACTAAAATAAGAAGTGTAGCAAAACTTTCAGTCTTAGAATATAAGTTTCAGAATTATATACAGCAAATTCTTTTGAGAAAAAATGTCAAGCTTTCATAAGAATTCTCTTTCAAAACTTATCAGATTCAGATTCAGAGAAAGAGAATATATCACTTTATAAGTATATTAATGAAAATGACTGAGAATAATCTGAGCTTATATAAGATGAATTAGAGTCAGCTATCTTCTTAAGTTCAGTTAAAACTGCTGCAGAGTCTGATTCAATCAATCACTTAATCATTTAAAATACATACTTCTACTTAAAGAATGAATATTTTGAGCTCTTTTTCAATCTCTTGAAAAATGAATATCATTCTGAAGACTGAGAAGAAGTCACTGAAGTGATTCTTGTAAACCCTAATAGAAAAACTTCAATTTCTGAGTTATATAGAGTAATATCTCTATTGAACTGTCTAGAAAAGATGTTAGAAAAGATAATAACTACTTAACTATTATTTATAAACTCTATTAATAATTCTCTTCTATTCAGTGAATAAATAGAAGATAGAAAACAATACTCTATAATTAACACTGTTCTCTCAGTTATTCATAATATTTAAATAGTAAAGTATGAAGATCTGATCTTAACTATCATTTTTATTGATATAAAAGAAGCATTTAATCATTTTTCAAAGTCAAAGTTAATTCAGACTTTGAAGATATTAAAACTATCACTTTCTCTAATAAAATGAGTTAACTATTTTATATCTAAAAGAATTATATAACTATTGTTTGATAAAATGAAATAAGATAAGACTGAGATAAAAATAGAAGTACTGTAAGAATTCTCAATCTCACTTATTTTATTTATAATATACACTGTATATCTATTCCAGAATAGAGATATGAAAATAGTGCAATCTTTAACTTATATGAATGATATTGATCTAGTCTACAGCTCAAAAACAATCAAAGAGAATTTAGAAGTGATTGAAAAAGCAGTAAAGAAAATCTTTGTTAGAGCAGATATTAATTAAATTCAATTTAATATGAATAAAACTGAGTTAATTCATTTCTTTTCTAGATTTAATGAGAAAAAACTATATCTAACACTTTTAAATAGAGAGATTAAACTCAGTTTGAATGTTAAATGATTAAAAGTATGATTAAACTCTAAGTTGAATTTTAAATATTATATTTAATAAAGAATAATCAAGGCAGAAAGACTATTGAATAGTATAATCAGACTATCAAATACAGAGAGAGATCTATTCTTCCAGGCTATGAGATAGTTATATATAGCCTGTATTACCTCAGTAGCTGATTATAAACTTCAAGTTTAATGAAATAATTAAGAAAATTTCACTGAACTCTTTCAAAGTTTGTAAAACAGAGTTTTGAGAAGAATTCTGAGAGCATTCACATCATCTTCTATTAAAGTAATAAAAATTAAAGCTTCAATTCTCTCTTCTACTATTAGATTTGAAAAGATCTGTATAAACTATGCTCTGAGAGTTATAAAGATAAGCTTAAATTATATAATTAGAGAAAGAGTCTCTTCTTCATTTTTATCAATTAACTCAGAAAATGAACTGAATTAAAATAGATTTCTTGATTAAAATGAAAATAATTCTTTAAAGAAAATACTTTCTCAACTATACAGACTATATTCACTGATTAAAAATCAATTTTCTTTATTAAATATTGAAAAAGTTAATCATGGAAAGATATTTCTTTGAAGAGAAAAGCTTGAATCTCTTATAAACTTGTAAATAAGTGAACTATCTAAAGAGAGAGAATATGAATAGTATTTGAAGAAGATTTCTATAATTAATATAAAAGACTCTATTCTGATCTATTCAGATGACTTAAAAAATAAGAATTTGAATAAATTAGATGCAGACATTGCTTATACTGAAGATAATATCAATTTTATCTCAGATTTCTGAAATTTAGACTGTGAATCTGAAGTCTTTGATACTGAACTATTTGTAATAGTGAAAGCTTTCAAACTTATTGAAATAAAATCTTATAAAAGAGAAAATAGTTTGAAAGAGATATGAATATTCTCTGATAGTCAAGCTGCTTTAAAAAGACTTAGAAATAGTCAGATTCATAATGATCAAATGAATCTTGAACTGATTTTAAACTCTGTTTTTAAAATTCAAAAGAGAAGAATATCAAAACTGATAATTTATCTGCACTGAGTTCCTGCTTATATGAATATTCATAACAATGAATTGACTGATTCAGCTGTAGAAAAGAGTTCAGAATTAAGCAGATCTATTTAAAAAATTATGTTCTGATCTTTTATAAAGAGAAAGATAAAAGAATCTTATTTAGATAAGTGAAATAAATGCTGACAGAAATAAAAGAAGAGTATATATTATTCAAGATTTGAAATAAAATTCAAGTGAAAATCTTGTTTAATTAAATATAAAAAGAAAATATTCTCATCTATAATGCAGCTAAAACTAGAACATAACTATTTCAAATCTTATATACAAAGATTTGATGATAGATTTGATTTAATAGAATACTCATTCTGCAATGCAAATGAGAATTCTGAGTATATTGTAATGCACTGTGTATTATACAATAATCTCAGAGTTAGATTGAAAGAGAAGTATGATCTAAATCAATTAAATATAAGATTCTTATTCTCAACTGAGACAGAAATTAAATATTTAATAGACTTTCTATCAGAAACTCAAGCAGCTATAAGAAAATGACTAAATTCAGAAATATCTGAATATGAAGAGAAGGAAACTGATTATTATTATTATTCTTCTTCTTCTTCTATTATACTCATATGCAAGCGGAGCTTATGATGAGTTCTTGTGTAATGTTAAATACAGGTCAAGTGTTGATTATACAGGAGAAAATACAGGTGTTGAGATCATATCAAGATAACAAGAATATAGAAAATACAAAGAGATGATAATTAAATACATGTAATAATAACTTCTCATCTCAGAAACATAGAGTGATTTGTTGAAGTGATTCATACACCTCTGTATTTATTAGAAACCTGAGGTACTTGAGTTCCGGATTTAATGTATTCCCTGCAGGTTTCGAACCCACATGCCTTGATTTCCCGCGCCAAGGCGCTATCAGGTGGCCGCATTAACCATTCGGCCACTGGGGCGAGGAAATTGATCAGATATAGTCTGTTAAAACAGCTATATACTATCTTTTAATAATTTACTTTGTTACAGTCTCTCTTTACTTTACTTTTTTCTTTCTATTCTTTTCTATCTATCTATTTAATGTGTCTATCTTTAAGACTGTGTTCTCTTTTCTTTTGTCATGATATTGTTAAATGATTTCAAAGTATCAGAAGATGTTAAAATTAGACTGGTCACTGAGATCATGAATTTCATATTTAGTCTCATTTAATCTGATTCTATACATTTCTTGGTGTGAATTCCGCTGGGACTAATTATTAAAAAAATATGCAAAGTGACTATATATCAGATCTCAAAATGAAACCATGACTTGAAAAAAATGAGAAAGTGATCTCATTTGATTTCATTTAGTCTCATTCTTGGCATAAAGTTACTATTTTTAGACATTTTAAGGTTTTTTTTAGACTATTTTTAATTTTTTAAAAAGTAACACTTTTTGGTAACACTCAAATGAGATTTAAAGTCATTTAAAGCAATAAAAATAATTTAAATTGAGAAGTGGAAATCATGGTCTCATTTGAAAAATGTGATAAGAGTAGACAGTAAGTCTCACTGAAACAGTATAAGACTACTATCTAATGTTAAAACCATGTAATGGGATCAGTCGAATTGATAATGAGACTATCAAAAAATCTGGTCCTGGTCCCAGACACGGTCACACGGTCAGTCTAGCTATAACTGATTTTTGAACTTTAATATCAGTTATTAATTGAGAAAAGAACTGCTAATTAATTTCATTTCTGATTCTAAAAATGAGATTTGAGTTTAGCTTATTTCTCTGCAAGATATTCTGATTTGAGACTTTGAGAATAAGTCTTCTATTTCTAAGAATTTGAAAGTTTTTCTCTTTTTGCATTTTTTTCTTCACTTTTCTATGAATAGAAGCATGAGCAGTATTCTTCTCAGTTTTCTCAGAATTTTGAGCAGGTTTTGAGACAGTAGATTTAAAGACAGCAGATTCAGCTGCTTGAGCATATATTTTCTTCTAATTTAAAGAAGAAGAAGAAGAAGTAGAAAAAGAAGAAGAGTAAAGTGAAGAGTCAGTAATTATACTAGGAATTTTCAATGTTTTTTGAACTGTGTTTAAAATTTTAAGTTTGAACTTGATCATCTTCTGTAGTTGTCTAGCCTGAGTATAAAGAGTTAACAGAACTTCTTCATTCATCTTATTCAGACACTGCTTTTCAAGAATCTTACTTACTTTTTCAAGTTTCTGTATTTCAAGAACTTGTTATTTCTCTATTTCTTCTTTCTTTCTTCTCTTTAGAATTTCAAGCTCAGAAATAGCATTTGAGAAAGCATTTTTTTTCATATCAACTGAGTGTATTTTTGAACTCATTATTCTCACTCAATAAAAAGTTGATCAGACTGTTTCAATTGAGAGATTTATTAAACTCTTTTCAATTGAAAAGTTAATCAGACTGTTTTAATTAAGAGAATTCTAAGTCTGATTTCAATGAAAAAGTTGATCAGACTATTTCAAAAGAAGAATAAAAGACTTTTACATATAAAACACCTGATTTTTTTCACACTAGTTTAGTAACTAGGTTAGATTTTTGAAGAGAATCAAATAAACTAAAATTGATTTTAAAGATAAATCAATAAAATCTTTACAATCTCTTTCTTGAAATACAGTGAGAAATAGTATGATATTACTTGATATTAAATCAGATAATATAACAGTTTTTGAGAGTAAAACTGATAAAAAATAAATCAATTTTATTCTAAATTATTCAATTCTTCTCACATAACAAGTATTCAACTCAAATCAGTTAATAAAGAGTGTAAAAAAGAACTAAGTATTAATAAAAGCTCTTCAGTCACTGAAAAAGTAATTCTTATTTAAAAGAATATGAAATTATAATAGAAAATAACTCTATTTTTAATTCTTTATAAGAATATTATAGAAAATTCAGAGAAAAACATCTTACTTTTTCAAGAGAAGTAAAAAACTATTTCTAAGATCTCTTTTTTTGTATTAACTGCTGCAGAAGAATGAGATAGAAACTGCTAAAATATGTACTACTGTATATTCTCTATCAAGACTTTCTCTCTTCAGAGTCTTGATATTATAAAGAATATAAGTCTGTTTCTATATAATAATATAAATATTGTCAGCAGGATGTGAAGAAACTGGTTATTTATATCTCAAAATAGAAGACTTTGTCAATGATTATATTAATATAGAGTTAATTTTCAAATTCAATAGAAATTTAGTGTTGCTGTTCTTAATCTCTTGCAGAATCTATTGAATATTGAGATATTAAAACTAGATTTAATATATCTCACTGTGCAGGGATTAAAGGCTCAGTCAGATCTTGAAATATACTGATTTTATAGTTGTTAATATGCTGTTGACTCATTGTTCACTGATTATTTATCAAATACTGTTACTGAGGTATCTTTTTGTATTTTTCTGCCAGGGATGGGCCAGATTGAGAAGGGCGGTACAAGGGTGGGACTTGGCATTGATGTTTTGAAACATCAAAGATGAACAGAGTTTTCATGAAGATTGCTTCTCAGATATCTTCACAATTACAGATCAGGGATCTTCCAAAATCAAGAAGATTGGCATATATGGCTAGGTCTCTTCACCTTACAATTTGTATGGCAATTTGGCCCGGGGTTGTGGTGTGGTAGGGGTGAATGGGGGATAATCCCACACAGGAGTTTCGAACAACGTCTGGTTCACATTTGGCTGGATAGCTCCACCACCACACGGGGTATGCGGTCGGCGATGGGGTTAAAATGCTTGTATGATCGAGGGCTTTTTGATGGATCTATTGGCGGGTTCATATTCGAAAAATCAAGTGAGTTCGTGGTGGAGCGGTTCTGAGCCATACATTATTCAAGATTTGAAACAAAATCCAACTGAAAATCTTGTTCAATTAAATGTAAAAAGAAAATATTCTCATCTATAAGTCAGCTGAAACTAGAATATGATTATTTCAAATCTTATATACAAAGATTTAATAATAGATTTGATTCAATAGAATGCTCATTCTGCAATGCAAATGAAAATTCTAAGTATATTATAAATTTATAATACATTGTGCACTATACAATAGTCTCAGAGTCAGATTGAAAGAGAAGTATGATTTAAATCAATTAAATATAAGATTCTTATTCTTAACTAAGATAGAAATTAAATACTTAATAGACTTTCTATCAGAAACTTAAGCAGCTATAGAAAAATGACTAAATTCAGAAATATCTGAATATGAAGAGATGGAAATTAATCAGATATAGTCTGTTAAAACAGCTATACACTATCTTTTAATATTTTTATTTTATTATAGTCTCTCTTTATTATACTTTTTCTTTTCTTTTCTGTTCTTTTCTATCTACTTATTTAATATGTCTCTCTTTAAGACTCTGTTCTCTTTTCTTTTGTCATGATATTTCTAAATAATTTCAAAGTATCAGAAGATGCTAAGATACTGCAATTTGTAAAGAGTTTTTATATTCTGAGCTGGAATTTTCTGATTTGCATATCTGAAATTGATAAATGCATAATAGTTAACTTTATAGATATTAGAAAAACTCTGAGAACTAAAAGTTTTCAGATAGATATCATAGTCGCTGACTGCATATATCTATAATTGAAGAATAATAATAATAATAATAATGAGAAAAAACTATGTCTAACTCTTTTGAATAAAGAGATTAAACCTAGTTTGAATATTAAATAATTAGAAGTATGATTAAACTCTAAGTTGAATTTTAAATATTATATTTAAAAAAGAACTATCAAGATAGAAAGACTATTAAATAGCATAATCAGACTATTAAATATAAAGAGAGATATATTCTTTTAGACTATAAGATAGTTATACATAGTCTTTATCATCTCAGTAGCTGATTATAAAGTTCAAGTTTGATGAAATAATTAAAAAGATTTCCCTGAACTCTTTTCAAGTCTGTAAAACAAATCTCTGAGAAGAATTCTAGAAGTATTCAAATCATCTTCTATTAAAGCAATGAAGTCAGTATAACTCAGTTAATAAGACTGGTAATCAAGACTACACATATTAGAGATGTGTGAGTTCGAATCTTATTACTAGCATCTGCTACTTCTTACTCATGAAAGCTCTCATGTAATAGAGGCTGAGTCTAATTAGTAAGACTTGATACAGAGTAGTACTCACTACTACAAGTCAAGTCACTAGTTAAGCAAGATTCTGCAAACCCTCATCAGAGTCAGTATGAGATGTCAATGTTTTACTAATTTACTATACATCTGTCAAGACTCTAACAATATAGAGTCAAGTCTAATGTAGTGATTATACAATACTTAAGCTAGTTTCTAACTAGAGCTGTTATCAGAGTCTAGCTTTCTCTTAAATACAGAGAATGATTTTAAAAATCATCTGACTAGCAGATCTAGACATGTATCTAGACTCTAGACAGAGTAGTCTGATAGGCTAGAGTCTGCAAGCTTACTATCAAGCTTTAATACTGACAGAGAGAACTGCAGTCATTAAGTCTAGACTAACTGTATAACTGTGTCTGATATCAGAATCAGAATATTTGATGATCTCATTATCAATTTAATTAACCTCATTACACAGTTTTAAGATTAGATAGTAATCTTATACTGTTACAGTGAGACTTACTGTCTACTCTTATCATACTTTTCAAATGAGATCATGATTTTCACTTCTCAATTTAAATTCTTTTTATGGCTTTAAATGACTTTAAATCTCATTTAAGTGTTATCAAAAAGTGTTACTTTTTAAAAAATTAAAAATAGTCTAAAAAAAACCTTAAAATGTCTAAAAATAGTAACTTTATGTCAAGAGTCAGACTAAATGAGATCAAATGAAATCACTTTCTTATTTTTTCTAAGTCATGATCTCATTTTGAGATCTGATTAATAGTTACTTTGTATATTTTTTTGTTGATTAGTCTCAGCAGGATTCACACCAAGAAATGTATGAAATCAGATCAAATGAGATCAAATATGAAATTTATAATTTTGACACTCAGCCTAATCAAGTCTATAATTAGTCTCTAATACAGAGTGAGGTCACAACAGCTGATTAATAGGCCTATAGACATCTAATGATGCTGAGATCAGCAACGGAAAGCTTGATGTGTACATTACTAAGTGAGCAGTAGCAGTCACTAAATAACATCTCTGGAAATTAGTAACTGGTCTGAGAGAACGGACGCAGTGATCAGTTAATTATAGAGAATTAAATGTAATTAGCTTAAGATGCATTCTGCAGATGACTAGCACCCGTAGTCAGACTAGACTGGCCGCCGGGACCATGAATTTCACATTTGATTTCATTTAGTCTGGTCTCATACATTTCTTGGCATGAATGCCGCTGAGACTAGTCATTAAAAAAACATGCAAAGTGACTGTATATGAGATCTTAAAATGAAATCATGACTTGAAAAAAATGAGAAAGTGATCTCATTTGATTTCATTTAGTCTCATTCTTAGCATAAAGTTACTATTTTTAGATATTTTAAGGTTTTTTTTAGACTATTTTTAATTTTTTAAAAAGTAATGCTTTTTGTTAACACTTAAATGAGATTTAAAATCATTTAAAGCAATAAAAATAATTTAAATTGAGAAGTGGAAATTATGGTCTCATTTGAAAAATGTGACAAGAGTAGACAGTAAGTCTCACTGAGACAGTATGAGACCACTATCTAATGTTAAAACCGTGTAATGGGAGCGGTCGAATTGATAATGAGACTATCAAAAAATCTGGTCCTGGTTCCAGACACGGTCACACGGTCAGTCTAAGTCAGACTATTAAATACAGAGAGAGATCTATTCTTCCAGGCTATAAGACAGTTATACATAGCCTGTATTATCTCAGTAGCTGATTATGAAGTTCAAGTTTAATGAAATAATCAAGGAAATTTCACTGAACTTTTTCAAAGTCTGTAAAACAGAGCTTTGAGAAGAATTCTGAGAGTATTCAAATCATCTTCTATTAAAGAAATGAAAATTGAAGCATCAATTTCTCTTTCTACTATTAGATTTGAAAAGGCCTGTATGAACTATACTCTGAGAGTTATAAAGATGAGCTTAAACTATATAATCAAACAAAGAGTTTCTTCTTCATTTTCATCAATCAACTCAGGAAATGAACTGAATTAAAATAAATTTCTTGATTAAAATAAAAGTGATTTTTCAAAGAAAATGCTCTCTCAACTATACAGACTATATTCACTGATTAAAAATCAATTTTCTTTATTAAATGTTGAGAAAATTGATTATGAGAAGATATGTCTCTGAAGAGAAAAGCTGAAATCTCTCATAGACTTGTTATTATTATTATTATTCTTTAATAATAGATATATACAGTCAGAGACTATAATATCTATCTGAAAACTTTTAGTTCTCAGAGGTTTTCTAATATCTATAAAGTCAACTATTATACATTTATCAATTTCAAATATGTAAAATCAGAAAATTTCAGCTCAGAATATAAAATCTCTTTATAAATTGCAGTATTTTAACATCTTCTGATACTTTGAAATCATTTGAAAATATCATGACAAACGAAAAGAGAACAAAGTCTTAAAGATAAACATATTAACTAAATAGATAGAAAAGAACAGAGAGAAAAGTAAAGTAAAGAAAGACTATAATAAAATAAAAATCTACAGAATAAGATCTCTGCAGATAACATGTTAAGCTATATACATATTTTAACACTCTATATAACTGACTGCTGTTTCTGTTCTCTCAAGCCTGCTTCAGAGATTATCATTCTCTTTAAAAAGCTGCTGCTCAGCTAGCTTCTGTAACTAGCTTATTCATAAGTGAGATTCTTACTAAGAATAACATCAGAGCTACTTAATTCTAGTTAAGTCTCTAATCTTCTAACTGTTAATCTCAGTATTTCAGTCTATCAATTAGCTGTCACAGTCTTGCTTACACTAATCATCTATTAAAAGCATCTAGATCTTATCTCATCTAGATTCTTACTAGGCTCAGAGTATTCTAATCAGATAGTTTTTAAATTTCAATTTCTCAGAAGTAAGTGTTTAGAGTGAGAGAGATGAGATCTAATCACTTAAGCTTAATAATGATTCACTATTCTGCAGATATTTTAGATCTTAATCACTCTAGTACTAATCTAACTTAAAGTATCTGAAGAGCTGTTAATTCTAAGATCAGTGAGAATTAGTGCCTGAGAATCTCTGAGATAAATATCTTAAGTGTGATGATAATTCACTATAGTGTATCTGAGAGTCTCTGATACTATTTTATAACTTAACAGTGAAAGCTGTGATTAAGATAACTCTCACAGAGTTTGAATCTACTCTCTCTTAGCATTCATTCTCTGAGAGAAAGGCCGTCAATTGAGACTTTATAATATTGTAGTTAATCACTACGTCACCAGGCCTTCATAGACTTGTAAATTAGTGAACTATCTAAAGAGAGAGAATATAAACAGTATTTGAAAAAAATCTCTACAATTAATATAAAAGACTCTCAAATGGTTTCAAAGTATGAGACGATGTTAAAACACTGCAATTTGTAAACAGTTTTTGTATTCTGGGCTGGAATTTTCTGATTTTGCCTATCTGAAATTGATGAATGTATAATAGTTAACTTTACAGATATAGGAAAAACTCTGAGAACTAAAAGTTCTCAGATAGATGTCATAGTCTCTGACTGCATACATCTATAATTGAAGAATAATAATAATAATAATAATATAAAAGACTCTATTCTGATTTACTCAGATGACTCAAAAAATGAGAATTTGAACAGATTAGATGCGGATATTACTTATACTGAAGATAATATCAATTTTAGTTCAGGTTTCTGAAATTTAGACTGTGAATCTGAAGTCTTTGATACTGAACTATTTACAATAGTAAAAGCTTTCAAACTTATTGAAATAAAATATTATAAAAGAGAAACTAGTTTAAAAGAGATATGAATATTCTCTGATAGTTAAGCTACTTTAAAATAACTTAGAAATTGACAGATTTATAATGATCAAATGAATCTTGAACTGATTTTAAATTCTGTTATAAAAATTCAAAAGAGAAGAATATTAAAACTGATAATTCATCTGCACTAAGTTTCTGCTTATATGAATATTTATGATAATGAATTGACTGATTTAGCTATAAAAAAGAGTTCAGAATTAAGCAGATCTATTCAAAAAACAGTGTTCTGATCTTTTATAAGAAGAAAGATAAAAGAATCTTGTTTAAATAAGTAAAATAAAAGCTGGTAGAAACAAAAGAAGAGTATACATTATTCAAGATTTGAAACAAAACTCAAGTGAAAATCTTATTTAATTAAATATAAAAAGAAAATATTCTCATCTGTAGACTGGCCGCCAGAACCATGAATTTCATATTTAGTCTCATTTGATCTGATCTCATACATTTCTTGGCGTGAATCCCGCTGGGACTAGTAATTAAAAAAACATGCAAAGTGACTATATATGAGATCTTAAAATGAAATCATGACTTGAAAAAAATGAGAAAGTGGTCTCATTTAATCTCATTTAGTTCCATTCTTAGCATAAAGTTACTATTTTTAGACATTTTAAGGTTTTCTTTTAGACTATTTTTAATTTTTTTAAAAGTAACACTTTTTGATAATACTCAAATGAGATTTAAAGTCATTTAAAACAACAAAAATAATTTAAATTAAGAAGTGAAAATTACAATCTCATTTGAAAAATGTGACAAGAGTAGACAGTAAGTCTCACTGAGACAGTATGAGACTACTATCTAATGTTAAAATCATGTAATGAAATCAGTTGAATTGATAATGAGACTATCAAAAAATCTGGTCCTGGTTTCAGACATAGTCACATGGTCAGTCTACTCATCTGTAATTCAAAGATTGTTTGAGCCAGCGTACGATTACAGGCGTACGCCGGCTTCTTATATATATTATACTAAATTAATTAGTGGCCGCTATGGCCTCTTTACATTTGTAAGCATGTTCAGAAGTTACTGTGTTATTATTCAGTGATTGTACATTCTTTTAAATCACATTCTCTCTTATCAGATTCAGTCACACTCATGTGACTATAATATACACTCTAGCTTTATGCAGATTAGTGTGCTACTAGTGTTTGTAATTATATAGTCTATCTCTGATTCAGCTAGTATTCTGTGTACACTCTTATAAAGAAACTTTCATCATATTACATTACTTATTCACTAACTTTTTTCATTCTTTAATTATCTTCTTCATTATTATCATCATTGAATATTATTATTCTATTTAAGATTTCTGCTTCTTCTTCTGTTTAACATCTTCTATTCATTTATCTATTACATTGTATATGTTTCTGGTGATAATCTCTCATTTTCACAATAAGTATTATTATAGTGCTTATACCAGGCAGTTTATTAGTAGTAAGTATAACACATTGTGAAATATAATCAGAACTTGTTTTCTTCTAACAATTATCAGAATGTATTATTATAAATAATATATCTTCTTCATCTTCTTATACACTCTTGACTGTTTTTCTTCTCAGTGAGCTTCTGATTGTGTTTTCTGATATGATTTTATATGAACACAGATACTGATATGTTTGTTTTTTTATTTATATAGAATCTTCACATGTTGACAGATTCATGTTTATTAATAATAGTAAACTCAATATTGAATCATTGATTAAAAACTTGAAGAATATGATAATGAAGAAATTATCTGTGATCTATATAACTGAGTCTTCTATATCTCTCTCTATTCTCTCTGTTTCTTTATCTGCTACTTCTTCTCAATCTTCTACACTTATCTCTGTATCTGATTCTCTCACTCTCACTACCTCTGTTCTCACAACCTGTACTTCTGCTACTTCTGCTTTTGCTACTTCTACTTCTTCTGTCTCTGCTGCTTCTGCTATTGTTATCAGCTCTTTCTATTTTAAGAAGATATTGCATAGACTTAGTGAATCATATTTCTTAGTATGTACACTTCTACTCTTTTTACTGATCTCTAGAATAATTTATTGTATAAAGACTGTGTACAACATAACTATCTGAAGCTCAGTCACAGATACTGATTATTACATTTACTTTAAGTATGTATAATGAAATAATTATGTATTTATATCAGAGAATTATCTCTCTCTTCAACAGTGTTAAGAGTGTAAGTCTTTTCTTTTTCATCTTTTCTTCTAATACTAATTTTCCTAGAGAAAATTGTTATAAGTTTTGTTATATATGAAGTTGTGATATCTACAGATACAAAGAAACTTTTTACAACTATTAAATTCAATATTATAAATACATCTGCTCTGATGAATATCTTCAGAATGATTAACTTATATCAGTCTATTCTCTGATATTTATTATCTGACTTCATAGTACAGATGAAGAATATCTGTGTTTTCAGAAACAGAAATGTGAATATTGTACTCTTTTATATCTATGAGTGTGAGACTTATACACCTTGTCTGAGTTGTTATTGTGAGAATAAGCTGTTTATACACTGTGTTCTACTTTCTGTATTTCTTCATGTCTCTCTCTCTCTTTCTGAGAAGTTTCATGTGTGTTGTAATTGCATATACAACTCTAAGATTAGTGAGTGTTCATTCAGTAACTATTTCTATCTCTGATTTTACAGTTTTATACACTAATAATGATTCTTAGTTACTCTGATGTCAGAGATCATGTTAATTGAAGATGATAATACTGCTGAGACTATCTTCTTCTGCTCTCAAGCTTCTCTCATTACTTTCTCTCTCTTCTCTGTGAAGAAGATTGTGCATATATCAGATTATAAGCATTCAGTCTCAGATAACTTCTACTGTTATTCATCTGATTCTGCACTCTCTTCTTCTTTCATTTCTTCTGTCTTCACTCTCTCTGCTCTGACTTCTGATTCTGTGAGTTCTACACTCTTCTTCAATTTTTCTACATGCATGTGTATACATTTCTATATTGACATTTCAGTCAATCTTGTAATAAATGATATTAATGTTGTATATAGAGTAGTAGAGAAATCAGAGATATGTATGATATTATTGTAAGAGTGACTGATGACTCTCAAATTTCTTGTGAATCTCGAGTTTTGAGATTTTCTTTGTTTTTAACATTTTTCAGATGATGTGATGTTGGAAATAGATTAAACATGTAGTATATGAAAATGAATAAAGTGTGTATAATAACATTTATCTTTTTATAGTCTATTCTTATGATTGATGACTAATTCATTATTCATTATTTCTTCTCTCTTATACTTTTTCTTTGTCTTCTAGTCACTACTCTTATACAATCTCTATATAATATAGTATTCAGTGACTAGATTCAGCAGCTTTCATCTCTTATGATTCTGTCTCATATATTATACTGTCTCTCTTCACCTGCTCAGACTACTACAGTGAATAGCTTATTGAAACTAATCTCATTCAATCTCTGAGTATCTTCAGAGATTGAGATGACTTGATCTTATATATCTGTGAATATTTCAGATACTTTATCCTCTATTATCTCTGTGATTGAACTGATATAAACAGTTAAATTTAACTCTGAATCTCTTTTTCTTCTGCAATCTGACTCATGTGTAAGTCTGCTGCTCTGAGACTGCTCTTTACTGTGTTGTATCTGCTATCTGCAGTGCATTATTATATAACTGACTACAGTCTTATCACTTATTAAAGTGTGATATTTATCTGATTTCTTCATTGCTTCTCATTCTTTTCTTATAATTATAAAAAGATTAGAATAAGTGAGATCATCTGATTTGTAAATATCTATGATTTCTCTTACTTTGTAAGACTTTTCAATTATAAGTCTCTTTTTTTTCAATACTAATGATAGTGCTGTGAATAATTATAATCTGCTCAGGTCTTGCATCTTTATCTTCACAAGATGTGAATCATTTATTAAGTTATATAAGACTAATCTCTCTGATTCTTTCAATACATATGTTCTCAGAGAATGTGATTTAAGTATCTTATATAACTCAAATTATCTAGATTGAAACTTCCCAGAACTCTCATTACATATAAGAACTTATGTTCTCATCTTAAGACTTGATTTCTTAACTAGTGAGTCTTGTATTCTTTTTGATTGAATTGCTTAATTCAGGAGTAACTTGTTAGCTTTTGCACATATGTGACTGATTTCTTTCAATCTTGATTTCATGTTCACAACTGCTGTATCTGTAACTATTGCATTCACAACTGCTGTTTTCTCTCTCATCTTTTTCAAAGCATTCTCTGAGATGCACAGATGCAATTCATACAAAAGATAGAATAATAAATGCTTAAAGACTGCATGCTGCTAAATTCATGTAGCTAATAGCATCTGACTGAGATATTCATCTTATAATCTTGTAGACTTGTGTCACAACTGCTGTTTTCTCTCTCATCTTTTTCAAAGCATTCTCTGAGATGCACAGATGCAATTCATACAAAAGATAGAATAATAAATGCTTAAAGACTGCATGCTGCTGAATTCATGTAGCTAATAGCATCTGACTGAGATATTCATCTTATAATCTTGTAGACTTGCTCACTAGATATTTTATCAGCATATTGTTCACAATTTTATTCAAGTGTTTCATCTTCTCATTTATTCATAGATGATATGACATTGTTCTACAATATCTTGTCTGTAACTGGCTTATGAAATGCCTCATCACTTCTTCTACAAGATTTACACTGTTATCAGTTAGAATCTCATGCAGCATTTCATAGATGATATAGATCTCATTATATAGAAACTTCATCATCATCTTCTCTATTATCTCTGAAAAAGAAACTTTCTTAAGCTGTAATTACTTAAAATCACTTATTGAATCACAATCTATAAAAGCTTTTATAAGTTTGTATTTGAAATTGACTTATAAGTCTGACTGTGTGATATAAAAGATGAAGAAGCTGTTATCTATATAATAACAGATCTCTACTACACTGAAGTCAAGAACTGACTGAATTATCTAGAGAATGATTATAAGAGATCTTACTAATCTGTTCTTAAAATCTATCTAGAGAATAAGTTAAGAGACTCTGTAAGCTGAATAGAGAATATCTGAACTGTGATCATTAATATTAGAAAAAGAGATGAGAAATCTGATAAAGACTACTCATAATACTTTATGAAATTATGATATGAATTGAGATCTGTGAAAACAGAACTCTGAAATAAGACCTGAATAATATTATTTATAAAGAGACTGAATAAAGATATACAGAATAAGCTTATTAAGTAAGACTCTAAGTTCTTAACTCTGAAGAAACTGATGACTCTTATTCATCACTTATAGATCACTGTAAGAGTCACAGATCTATGAAGAGCAGATCACTAACTAGCTCTGTGAGAATCAGAATAACAGAGAACAGATTTATCAGAGAAAGATAATAAGATATAGAGAGATTTATATCTGATTACTGAGTAGAGAGAGAGAGCTTCATAAGCTTCTATAAACAGAGTGTATAATAGAGAGATTATGAAAAAGAAACTCTGCTTTATCTGTTTAAAATCAGAATATCTTCATATAAACTGTTCAGATAAATTAAAATAGAAATTTAAGAAGTCACAGATAGAGTCAGTAACAGTCTTTTTAAAAATCTTAAAGCTGATATCTGAATCTGTCGCTTCTCTAATGAAAATACTTGCTTATAAGAAGAGATTACATCACAGTGCTGCTATCTCACAAGTATGAAAAGTATTGATGAACTCAGAATCTCAGATCACTGTAGTATCTCTAAAGCTTGTGAAGTGAATAAGCTGAGTGATGAAAACTGAGAATCTGCTCTTATAATAAGTAAAATGTGAGAACTCAGATCTGAGAGCTGAGAGACTTATAAGAATTATCTTTAAATTGCAAGATCTCTTCAGAATCTGAAGAAGATTTATAAAAACTATAATTATCACAGACATCACAGATAATATATACTTAAGACTTATATAACTTCAAAGACACAATCTACACATAGCTGTCTGTAAGTCAGGTTTATACTTTCAATCAGTGTTAACAGACTTACTCACAGAGATAGAATCAGTTGATACTGCAGAGTTAATTAAAGAAGATAAGCTTATTTATATAATGACTTTGCAAATATCTGATAACTTTATGATTATAAAAACTGAGCTTCAGATATCAGAGAAATATCAAGATCTTATAGAGATATTCAGTGTAGTAAAGACAGCTAAGCTTTCTTCTCACTGTAAGAAGAATCTGATAATAGATTTAATAGAAGAGTAGAAACTCTTCTGAGAATCAATCTATAAGCTCTGTTATTATGAGACAGAGATCTTGTAAATCTATATGAAGAAGAATCTAAAGAATAACTTCATCTGATCTTCACAGATCTCTGCAGAAGTCTCTGTGATATTTGTGAAGAAAAAGAATAGAGATCTCAGATTATGTATAGACTATCATAATCTGAACTTCAAGATAATAAAGAGTTATTACTCTCTATCTCTGATTGAGAATGTGATTAATTATCTTACAGAAGCTGTCATATTCATATAACTGAATATAATCAATATATATACATAGCTGTGAATACAGTCTGAGAATGAATGAAAGACTGTCTTTAGAACTGCACTGAAATTATTTAAATATCAAGTAATATCTTTTAATCTGATTAATATTTCTGCAGCATTTCAGTCTTTCATTAATAAAATACTTCATATATATCTGAATGTCTTTATAATAATATATCTGAATGATGTGATAATGTACTCTGTGAAGAAGAAAGAACACACTGAGTATATATAAAGTATATTGAAGATCTTGAATAAGACAGAACTGTATATTAAGCTTATAAAGTACAACTTCAGTATCTATTAGATTAATTTTCTAGAATATGTAATCACTGCAGATGATATTCAGATGAAATCTTTATAAATTAAGACTATTCTATTATAACTGAAGTCAACTAGTATGTATAAGATTCAGATCTTTCTGAGCTTTGTGAATTTCTATAGATAATTTATCTTTATATTTATAAGAATCTTCTTACCTCTTACAGATATACTGAAGAATAAAATAAGAAGAAGTTATTTATAAACAGAGAATGAAAAGATTATTGAGAAGAAAGAACTGTAAGAACTTTATTATCTCAGAAGCTCACAGAGTCTTATAAGATTGAAATAGATATTTATAAATACAGTGATACTATTTCACTTTGATTTCTTACTTCTAATCAGATTAAAGACAGATATCTTCTTCTTTATAATTTCAGAAATAGTCTTATAACTATAGTCAAATAGAAACTAAGTTTCAATGATCTTTTTCTCATGAAAGATGCAATCTATGAAGATTAATTATAACATTTATAATTAGAAGTTTTTTATAATAGTGAAATTCTTCTGTTACTAATATCACTACTTTGAGAATCTTATAACAGTGATTACTGTTAGAACTGATTATAATAGCTTATAACAGTTTACTTTAATCAAGAAACTCTTACAATAACAGATTCACTGAGCTCAGAGACTGAGTGAGTTCTGATTCAAGATAGAATATATCAAGAAAACTAAGAACTAAGTAGATAAACTCTCTCACAGATCAGACTATATTAAGAAGATCAGAATAATAGATACAGAGAGACTAGAGAAGACAGAAAAGCTTTATAAGATGCTTAAACTGAGTGTTATAAAGAGATTGACTGAAGAGTCTCTCAATCTCTTATAAGAGAAGAAGAAAAAGAGAGAGAAGAAATCTGTATAACTACTCTCTATAACACTGAAAGTTAACACTCTGAGAATCTTTATAAGAATTCTGAAAGAGAGTATCTATAATCTGAAGAGTTTGCTGACTTTAAGAAGCACTGTG